TCTTAAATACAGTCCATAACTATGCAGTGCTTTAGCATCATCTGGTCTAATTGTAGCCCAGGTTAAGGCCTTATTCATATAAGCTGATGCGATTTTAAACTCATTTCCAAAATGATGTTTCAGCAAACGCTTTGCTTCAATAAAACCAGCTGTAGCATTCAGATGTAAACAACTTCTGACAAGTTCTTTTGGTTGGCCCGCTGTAAACTGTTCAAGGAAATACAGTCGGTCCTCATTACTGTCAGTCTTGTCCTCTATATTGTGTCTGAATGCCTGCATAAAGAGCTGGAACTCTAGAGGGTCACCACTGAAAACAGGAACTTCTTTTTTAGGGAGTGATGTTTGAGATACAACTGAAACAAGCAGATTTGTCAAGTCTGACTGTCTTTGTATTGAAATATCTGAATGTTCAGACCGGTCCCTTCCAGGAGTGGATTCCTTTCTTGTTTGTACATCTTGTCAAATTATAGCTTTGATCTCATTCATTTTGCGAGTGCATTGTCCAAGTTTACCATGTCGGGTTGCGCTGAGCGCTTTGAAAGACAGCTCACTTTTATAGCCTTGCTCTTCCAAGCCTCTGGCCTCATTCTGGCCTTCTTCATCAGACATGATCTCAGTTTATTTTAAGTCTTTCGTTTAAATTCGTTTCGTCTTTCCAAAAACAACGTCAGTATTCAACAGTTCAGTTCCGTTTATTACGCGCATTCATTTAGTTTCATTTGCGCGCATCCAAGCTCTTACTGTAATTCTTTTTCTAATTGGTCCCCAGTTTTCAGCATTTGGTACTTCCTTTTATGTATTACCCTCATGTCCATCTGCCTGCTTTCATTTTGACTTTGCTGCTGACCCCTAATTTCCCCTTTGGAAAAGGATGAGGGACATTGTAAAATAAACAAAAAGAGCAACAAGAAAAATGGCCATATAAGGAAATAAAATGTATCCTTTAAATTAATATTTAATCATGAATATTATTTTTATTAAATTATTTAGGACTCCATACCAAAGCCCAGGATTATCACGTTGATAAAGTAGGAATATTAAAAGTAATCATAAATCTATGAGAATCATTTTGAAAAAAAAAAAGTCCACAGCCTTTTTTTGTTTTGTTAAGCTGCCCTTTTTTTCAATGGCTCTAATCCTTTTCTGCTTCCCCCAGAGGAAAACATAGTTTTATTTTTATTGACTTTTAAACATCTGTTGTAATTTGCCCAACTTTTATGAATTTTATAAAGCTCAGTGAAATCAATTCAACTCATTTTATCTGTATTATTTTCAAACATCCTTTTTATACTTGCATACAAATGATGATGTTGACCGTCTCCGGTTCAAAATGCTGCTGCTTAAACTCTACAAACACAAGATGCAGCTTCCTCCCAGTTTCATTCCTTTAGTCTCTCTGGGAACATCCCAGCCTCCATCTCTGATTTCCCACAATCCTCCAGTCTAAGGCCACTGCTGGATCCACCAGAAGATACCTCTTTGGTAACTCATTTCCTCCATCCCATCTCGGTTTTATCTATTTGTTTAAGCAGTTGATGACTTATTTGTAAAAAAAAAATTAAACAATTTCTGTTCCACTTGTGAAAGATCCTAAAAGAAGGAACTTTTCTTAAATTTAGGAGAAAACTCAGAGGATCTTTCTGCATCACTGCTCCAATCTCCTTCATGACACCTTTCTCTGTGAAGTTGGTTTAGTCACTCAAAGCTGTTTATCTTATGTTGACAGTAGAAATCTTATTTATTTGGATCTTACTGAAATCATAAAAAAGCTTATTTTGAGGTGTGGTGTAGAGTAGTGGCCAGGTATTCCTAAGCAGTAGGTGGAGTTCAGAGGAATGGGAGCACACTGGAAAAATTATCTAGAAATAAGTAAAAATGTCTTAAATGAAGTGTATTTACCTTTAATCTGAGTAGGTAAATGAGACAGTCTGCCGATGGAATGAGTATTTTTACTCTTAAAATAAGATAATTAGATAATATGCACTTGAAATAAGACAATGCATTTGTGTTTTCTTATTTTAACTGTAAATTGTCTTGTTCCATTGACAAAGTGTCTCTTTTACCTCCTCAGTCCAAGAAAAAATCACTTATCTAGATTTAAAATTTTTCCAATGCAGGATTTGCCTTAGAGAACATCATGGAGATGGAGTTTAATGCTCGTCTGGTTTCTGGTAAGTCACCCAATTTATGGAGAGAAATTATTTCCAATATTATTGAAAGCAAAGAAGTAAAAAAAAATACAGAACTTTGAAAAACATTCTATCAAAAACAAGGTTTGAGAGTAATTTATAATGTATTTCTAAAATTTCTATCAATATTTTGTCAGTTTCTATTTTTCAGATTTTTGTTTTCGAATATTTTACACCTTTTTTCCTAATTTTTAAACAATTCAATTTTTCCCCATAGATTCAGCTTCAATAGTTTCACCCTCTTCACCTCTGTGCACAGACCAATAGAAATGCTGCCGCTAGCGTCAGAGCAGAGCAGACTCATTTCTATTGGTCCACACACAGACCAAAGGCGGGACAATATTTCGATATCAACATATCACAAAATAATTATCCCTGATATGACTTTTAAATAAAAGATGTCTCTCATTTAATATACATTCCAGTCTATGAATAAATCATTTTTCACCAACTGACCTTTTGGGTTTTATGTGTTTTTGCTTTTAAAGCAAATATCCAAGATATTAGAGGAGTTTTCAATACATATGGCATAATAATTGTCATAAGTTTTTCAGGTATGTTGTGAGAATTATTGGCAGTATTTCTTAAGCTTTTTTTTCCAGATAAGTATTATAATTATATCATATGATGAAGAAATGTATTAATATACAACTTTTGGCCATATGGTCCAGCCCTACAGAGACCACTTATTATTTTAGACACTGATATCTGTAAAACTGAAAAGAAAAAAATTTAATAAACAAAATGTAAACAAATAATTAAAACCTGAAAATGATAAAATTATTATGATTAACCTTTGCTAACACATGATTAACAACCATTTCCTTTCGATTAAACGTTTTCCTTTTCTTCAAATTGTTAATTTCTTTTAATAATACTGGAGCCAGTTTTTATTCATATTAGTGCATCCATTACAAACCTCTGAACGCTAGTTGAGGAGCAATCCTCGTTTTATCAAACAGATTTAGTCATGATGTCACCGATTTCAAGGTAAACACATTATTATCTATATATACTTATATCTATGACAAACAACACTGGGTCTGGATAAATAACAAGATAAATAATCTTTATTTCCACATCTCTTGTTTATAAAATTATGTGTCCACAATTAAAATTAACAAGGCAACACAGAGAATCCGTTTTAATTTCTCAGAGGTGGAACCAAAGCTCTGGAGACGTCTCACAGAATTTCTGCAGAACCTGATCGATGACAGACCAGCAGCGGGACGGGGAGGGGGGAGCGTTTCTCCAGAGCCCGGATTCTCATCAACAATGCAGCCGTAAACCGTCAGGACTTCATGGCTGCTCAGTGTAAACCAAACAGCTTGCTGAGCGTCCCCAAACCAGATAACCCTCGCTGAAATGATCCACCCCATTGCCACTAACAGAAATACTACTCTTCTCTATCTTAATTCCATGGTTTTCTCTACAATTAAGACAAAAAACAGCAAGTGTAAAAACCAGTGAGGAAATGACCATGTATTTTCCGCACACAAGAGAAAAAAAACAAACAAACAAAACAGATCCTTAGCGATGTGCTCATTGGAGATGCTGAAAAAACAAAAACTGTTTCCATACAAGTCTGCAAGTATGACATAAGATCAGAAAAATTAAATATTACATACTGTATAGGTTATCATTACAGTAACAAGGATCCATGCGATCAAAGTCGTCTCGCCTGTACAGATCTGAGGATTCAGTAGTAAATAACAAGGCTATACGGACCTATAGTGCCTGGAGTGCCAGCATGTTAGAGACCGAGGAAGAGGAGGAGGGTGGTCTACCAGGGCGGACGGAGGAGCATCATTCTAAAGGAGAACCAAGGAGGCTTTTACTAAATTAAAGAATAAGCCCACTTTTATCTTCCCTCGTCTACTAAACGCTGATTCCCAAGAGAAAGACTAAAAAAAACCTGCTGGGGTTGGTTGACAAAAAACAAAACAGATGAGCGGCGACGAGAAGCAGATGAGGATTCCTTTCAGATCCAGAGTGCTTCTAGAAATCAACATCAGAAAAAGGGGCTCCAAGCTACGTCAGCTTAGTTCCAACAGAGAGAAATCCTCCGCCAGGCTTTTAACGCCAACAGAGATCTGGGATGGTTCAATTAGAGTGTTGAGGTGAGCTCCGATATTCAAGAAAAGAACATCTTTACTTTTACGGGTTAAACTTTTATCTCAGATCCTGATCTTTAATTGGCTTTCTCTGCAAACCCTCCCCACCCAAGAAACTTAAGAAACTCTTATAACCCCCTAGCCCCCCCAAAAACAACCAGCCCCTGCGATATTAAGACTTTAAACATTTAGATCCTGGTGGGTTCGTTCAGTCAAATACATTGTTGAGTCATTTTAAAACTACCAGCAAGCAAACCGTTAAAGAGCAGAGAGGAGCCGAGGATGCTGCACACAGGAAGTAAAACCACAGACGCTTTGATTAGGACCACGTCTTTAAAGAGGTGGTGCTGTGGGCTTCATCAGGTCTTAAAGACGGAAAACATTTTAACTGATTCGAGGAATTTCAATTTACCCGAATAAGGCAACGCTGTTTAAATGTTTAAAACACAATCTTAGAAAGCTGGATCCCTTTGGTCAAATCATCAGCAGAGAAAGTAGACATCTACAACTAGAGATGCATCCAGAAATCAGCTTTTTTCTTGTTCACCACGTTGCTGCAAACAAGAAATGATCGGCGACAGGTTGGAAGGAATTTCTTTAGTACCGATTAAATGCCGAAAAGCGACACCAGAGAGGGCAGGTTGTTCCGACAGGGAGAGAGAGCAGGAATCTCAGCTGATAACAGGAAGGCAGGTGATTTTTTTTTTTTTTTTTTTTTTTTTTGCTCTTTTTTAAATTTTTGCTTGAAAATCTCACCTGAGGCTCTACAGTCTGTAAAATAAATGCAAGCAAGCCATGTTAACAAAATATGAAATTACAGGGATGTGATTGGTTTTTAATTCTACCTGTTTTACAGTAGCTTCTCTCGCTGCCGTCATGTTATCTCTCCCACAGGAAGGATACAAAGAAGAAATATTGTTGAGGAAATTTTGGAAGTGAAAAAATTTGATTTTAGCAGGTCTAAGAACAAGCAAACCAAAAAAAACAGGGAAAATCTGGTCGGTGCATCTCTATATTGAAATAAAGCTTTTAGATAGTCAGTTGGGCTAAATAAGCCCAGTAGAATAACCTACTAAATGTTGACATTTAATTTTTTTCCATCTCAGAACAACAATGAGGGCTTTAATTATAATCAATGAGAAACAAAGAACATTTCTGTTAGTTTTGAGCCCGGCTGACCTCAGCTCCTCCAATCCGAGAGCTAATATAAGCAGCTAAGAAACATAAAGCTATTCACCCCTCCCAAAAAAACAAAAACACAGACATTTCAAGCCTGCTAAATAAGGGCACAGCAAAGCAGAGATCCCGAGAAGCGTGACCCTCATCAGAGTTTGCTTGCAGGGAAACAAAGATGGCGAGGAGGAACTGGAAGTTGTTCTGATGAGACCGTGTGGGCGGCGGTGGCTCTGGGACATGGACACAGTGGCTCTCCCACACACACTCAGCCTCCAGGTCCGCCTCTCCTCATCTTCTGCATCCTTGCTCTATTGCTTTCATCTTTATCATCTCTTCTCCGCCTCTCTTTGAGGCTCTGCATGGAATTACACCCCCCCTCATTTTCCAAACCCCTTCCCTCCCCGAGTCCGTTTCTTTACCACTATCTTCCTACTGTGTAGAGGAACAAAGAGAGAAAGAGCAAATGAGCAGAAATGGTTTAAAGAAGCCAGAGGCTGTTTTATCCTCTTGTTTTTTTTTTTCATTGCAGCTGAAAGAAAGTCGATCATCTGCAAACACGAATCAGACACACTCACACAAAGCCATGCTCCCAGGGACTCAACACACTCTATTCCAAGTTTTCCTCCTTTTTGGGGGTTTTTGTAAGTGGTGCCGCGGCGGACATGCGGGATTGACAACAAGGGCCGGGGAGGGGGGGAATCGAGGGTGTGTGTGTGTGTGGGGGGGATCTTCCTAGCTCATAAAGAGGGAGGCTGTAGCTGTGTGTGTGCGTGTGTGTAACTATGCGGATGCGACAAAGGAGCGGTCTTAATTCAGCTGCCATCTCCGCCGATATTTCTTCTCCTCATCATCTGCCGGGGGAACACAAGAAGAAACACAGGTTAGACAGAAAGGAGCTGTTTAAAGTCTGCTTCTGAGACGAGGAAAAAGCAGGATCAAAGCTGCAGTACCTTTTAAAGGTGTAAAGATTTATGCTGATATGGAAAGCAGGAAGAAAGGCAGGAAGAAGGTCAGTAGAAGAATAAAGCAGCTCAACATTAGAAGAACAAGAAACCGACTCTAAATAAGTCAGAGGTTATTAAACAGTTACCTTCTAAATGGTTCCTGGAAAGATATTTCAGTGCCTCATCCAAGAGGATCACTGGGATGGAAATCTTTAGGACCACGATCCACTGGGACCAGTGCAGGGGGGTCACCTGGAAGATCAACTGTGGGGTGGGGGTTGGGGGGGACAGAGGAAACCTATTCAGAAATATTAAGTGATGTGGTGCAAAATCTCACTAGGTAGTTCAGGACAACATGAATTTTACGTTTTTGGTCAACTTTTATATCAGCACTGTTCCAGCCACTAGGGGCGCTAGACCTGGAACCTCCACATTTAGCCCTCTAGATTAAAGTCTGCTCATAATCAGAAATCAAACTTCTGAAAACACTATAAATCTGAAATTATTGTTGATTTGTGGTTTTTGGACTGGACTTTGTTTCAAAGTTTGAAAACATTTCGCTTCCCATCCAGGCAGCTTTCTCAATTCAAAATGTCAGGAATGGGACCTCCCGTGTCACCAATTGTAGCCAATCTTTAAATGGAAGAAATGGAAAAGAAAGCTTTGGACACCTTCAGAGGAACACCACCAAGCCATTGGTTAAGATATGTGGATGACACATTCATTAAAAGACAGCTAAAAATGGTGGAGGCTTAACAAGACACATCAACTCGGTTGACAACCGCATCAAATTCACCTGAAAGGATGCAACGATAACAAGCTACCTTTTCTGGACTGTTTGGTGAGCATGGAAGGAGATGGAAACCTCTACATTAAAGTCTATAGGAAACCCAATCACACAGACCAATATCGTCTTTATATATATATATATATATATATATATATATATATATATATATATATATATATATATATATATATATATATATATATATATATATATACCGTATTTTCACGACTATAAGGCGCACTTAAACGTCTTTTTTTCCCCTCAAAATGTGCGGTGCGCCCTTTGGTGCGGTGCGCCTTTTGTGTGTTCTAACTGCGACTTTTGAGACCACCTCATTGAGGAGATGATGAAAGAGTGGCTGAATGTAAGGAGACCAGGTGTTTTTTTTCCACTCATCACCATCGCTGTTAATATGTGACTCCATGCGTGCCCATCTCACAGCTGATGTGAAAAACATGGTGAAACAAATTAACGCTGTGCTCGCTGTTCAACCGCTCGACATCGGTGTGAACCGGACCCAGCAGGTGCAGCAGAAGCAGCGAGTTTACATGCAAAGTCAATGGTTGACGCGCGTATAGGTGCAGCAAAAGGTCCTGCAGCGCGTTTTGAGCAGCAGGAGCGTTTAAGCATCTGCCAACGCGCTGCTGCTGCTCGAGATGGAAAAATTTAAGTTTTGCTGCTGGACGCGCCGCATCAACCAATCAGAGAAGCTGATCTGGCAGCTGACAGCGAGACAGACACAGCGCTCTGATGACATATGATATTAAGGCAAATGAAAAAGGCTGGATGGATGAGGAGATGATGAAAGCGTGGCTGAGGGAGGTGTATGTGAGGAGAACAGGTGTTTTTTTCCACGCATCACCATCGCAGTTAATCTGTGACTCCATGCGTGCCCGTCTCACAGCTGATGAGAAAAACATGGTGAATCAAATGGACGCTGTGCTCACCGTTATCCCGGGGGTCTGACAAAGGAACTTCCACCGCTCGACATCGGTGTGAACCGGCCGTTCAAAGTAAGCCTGCGAGCGGCGTGGGAGCGATGGATGACAGACGGAGACCACAGTTTCAGAATAAGTGGAAGGCAGCGCCGGGCAAGTTACTCCACAGTTTGCGGATGGATTGTTGATGCTTGGGCTAACGTGTCTGCTGGCTCTGTTGTTCAAGCTTTCACAAAAGCCGGCATTATTTCTGAGGAGCCGCGCTGCACGGAAAGTGACTGACAGCGAAGAAGGGGAAATTGGCATTTCTGATTTAGCGCAGCTGTTTAATTCAGAAACACAGGATGATGACTTTGATGGGTTTGATTAATACTTTGTAATAAATACATGAATAAAGCACAATCATACTCAGTTTTGCTCCCGCTCTATTTTTCTACCTGAAAACTTAATTCAACAGCAGCCTCTGGGCGGGTCTCCTCCTCTTCACCGCGGTGGCTGGCAGGTGTTTTTTCATCTAAATAATCTCAATCTTGCAGCTATATTTTCTGTGATCAGTGGGAATAAAGTAGTTTTAATATGTTTTTAAGTGAGAAAGTCCACCTGAAAACTTCATAATTGCAGTCAGTTCATCCAGATTATCTATTTCTGTCGGAGGCGCTCAGACCCCCACATACCAGCGGTGCACCGACAGTAAATCCCTTCAACAGCAGCCTCTAGGCTGGGCAGCCTCCAGGTTCACCGCGGCGGCTGGCAGGTGTTTTTCATCTAAATAATTTTAGCTGCAGGCACCAGGATACCGGTAATAAAAGCGAACATATTCCGTCGGCAGGTTTCAGGATTTTAAGTTAATTTAGGAGTGACCACAGCGCTGTGTCATCTGCGATGTGTCTGTCTCACGGCCAGCTGCCAGGTTTGATTAATACTTTGTAATAAATACATGAATGAAGCACAGTCATACTCAGTTTTGCCCCCGCTGTATTTTTAAATACGCAGTAGAGCTATTTAAAGGTAGTAGAGGACATGTACCGGTATATAAAAAAACGCGCCCTATAGTCCGGTGCGCCTTATGTGTGTGTTAAATACAGAAATGGGACACATAACTGAGAGTGCGCCTTTTAGTACGGTGCGCCTTATGGTCGTGAAAATACAGTATATAATTCAAGTTACTTACTTTCTAATCTTTACTTTCATAAAGATATTCTGATCAAGATTTCTGTTTTTATGTAAAAATGAGGGATGTTTTTCATTGTGTTTTGTTTTTATTATGAGGATCCAATTTAAAGTTAATAGAGCTAAAAACACTTAATTGCAGGAATTGGGATTAATAATTCAGCAAATGATTAATTGTTAGCTCACATAGAGTAACGGGAAAAATTAGCTGAAAAAGCAGTAATTACACCACAGATTTAAGAAAATAAAAAAAATATAAAAACAAAGCGTTTAAGGTCCATGAATGAACTCTATGCTGTGCAGAACTCCTCAACAGACATATGTCAGCTACATTTTGTTTAAATTCAGTATAAAATCGTATTTATGGCACCATTTGCTCTTCAATTAACAATAAAAAAAATAGTTTCATTACAGAAGAGGCGCGTCAGACATTTAAAGAAAGCTTCAAATCAGCCATGAAACGCCTGATTGGTGGATCTCTACGTCCATAAACTTGAACAGACGCCCTGCTTACTCACCGGCAGAGGCTCCACGTACAGGATCAGGAAGTGGAGGGAAAGAGAGAGGATGATGGCTCCCAGCAGCCAAATATTGACCCAGGGAGGCATCCTGACCAGAGACTGGTTCTCAGACAAACTGTCAAACAGATCAGAAGAAAATAAATTGGTCAAGACATCAGGGGAAGCAGCAACAGTTGTTCCACTGTGAGATATCAACTCACAGTGAAGCTTTTATTTCTGCCCTGGTTATAACACTGCTCCTTAACCATTATGATCAATTTAGGGATGCACACATGGTAACGTCAATAACAGGCATCGCTGGTCATTTCTTAGCTCTTTAGGGTCGTTATAATGAATAAAAGAGAGATAATATTACAAACTGATGTTTAGGATTCTTTTATTAGGCTTCAAGCAACATTGGATGGGGACTGTTTAAGGTTAAGCTCAGTAAATATCCGTGCATTTCTACCTAATTTTCTCCATACTTCCAATAAAGTTAAAAAACAAACCATTGGACTTTGTTTCCAAATTGTAAGACGTGTTGCTTCCTTCAAACTTGGAAACAAAAGAAAACAAAAAAGTATATTTTTCTTAATCCTTAGTTTTATAGTTTACTCATTTTTCTTCCACATTCAAAGCATAAAAACATAAAAAAAAAAATAAAACCTTTGCGTTAAGATTTTGTTAAATCATTCAGAGCAGCACTATAAAGTGAAACGCCTCCAAAAATCTCTTCAATCTACTTAAGGTTTTTTTTCTTCCTCCAATTGGAAACTATAAAGGCAGCGACGTCAAGTCCTGGTAAAAGAGCTGTTGTTTTTTTTTTCTCCTTCGTTATCTGCACAGTAACTGGATTTGTCCTTCAAAGGGCTCGTTGTCAAGCTGGATGAAAGGATTTGATCCCTTTAATAAAAACCCCACAGCGCTGACATTCAAGTCCCGCGTCTACATCAGAGGACGGCTGACCTGTTGAGGGCGTTAAACATCTCGATAGTGACCAGCACCGACAGCGCCATGGTGGTTGGGTAGCGGGATTCAAACACCTCGCAGTCGATGTCCTTGAACATGGGGTTGTCCTCTGTGCACTGCATGAAGTGCCGCTGTGTGTGAAAGGAAAGAGAGGATTTATGGAAAAATAAACCTGCAATATCTGATTCCTGCGGTTATAACAGGCATCAAAACCAGGAAAAAAGTGGACTTATTGCTCACCAGCTGGTAGAAAGTCACCTGCGGACCCTCTTCATCAAAAAGGTACCACCATGTGGCTGCGCTCACTGTTCCAAGCCCCACATAACCTAAAGCAAAACAGCACAACACCATGTTGTTACTTAGAAATGAGCCTTTTGCATTTGCAAAAGCATATTTTCATGTCACACCTGCACCCACCAACGTTTGATGTTTTTATTCACATTTTTCTAAAACATCAACAAAAAAATCTCTTAGGGCGAAGGAAAAAAGTTAAACTATAGATTTTTTTTGGGCACATCTGCTCATCACACTGTCTGCTACTACTTAATCACAGTTAGTGCAAACTTCAGGTTATCTCATTAGTACAAAGAGCCACTATGGGGTTTTTAAATCACCTAAACAGACTAAAGAGGAAAGAGGCCCAAAGTAACTCTGGAAGAGTTGCAGAGCTTTAGCTCTTACGCCCAGAGGGTCTCAGAGACCATTTTCTCCTGGTTAAATAAAGCAAGAATAGCTGCAGATATCGGATTACGAGGCAAACGACTGGTAACAGTTTAAAGAAAAAAAAATAAATTTCTCAAAAACAAGAAATATATATATTAAGGGAGTTGTTTTAGAAGCATTAAAGCAAAAAAAAAAACTAAATATGACTTCTACATCAGTAGGCCCAGTCTAAATCCATTTTGTTTAATTGATGTTGCAGGAAAAGAACAGAAATGTGTTTTTAATACTTTTTAGAGATACATTTTCTATGTTTAGGTGCATCTTTTTCCAATTCCTCTTTTTCAAATTGAGTTTTATAGATTTCATTTTTTTTTCTCCAACTGCGTTTTGAATATCTTTTCACTTGAATTCGAATATGAAAGTTAACATCCATGCAGACCAATAGAAATGCATCTTTACTCCCCATTTCAGAGGAAATCCCGCCCCTAAGAGTAAAGAGAATGTGATCTTTAAAGAGCATTTTGAAAAGAATTAGATTGATAAAACTTAAAAGAAGAGAAAGAGAAATTTTGAAAAATAAAACGTGAACAAATGAATTTGTAAAAAAGGGGGAAGAATAAATAAAACATTCAAAAGACCAATGGCATTTTGTTTATTAATCCCCCACCCCCCCCGCCCTTCTACGTCTAGTGCATGATGCATATAAATCTATTCGCCACCAGAGTCCCTGCTACCTCCAATGGCGAGGTATCTGAAGAACAGCCAGCCAGAGATCAGTGGCTCCTTGGGGTTACGCGGCGGTTTGTCCATGATGTCCAGGTCTGGGGGGTTAAAGCCCAGGGCGGTGGCAGGAAGCCCGTCAGTCACCAGATTGACCCACAGCAGCTGGACTGGGATCAGCGCCTCTGGGAGGCCCAGGATGGCCGTCAGGAAGATGCTGCAGACAAGCAGAGAAAGCGGGTCAGCTGAGGACAGGTGGACACAATCTGGTGCACAAGTCGGGGGTCTAGTCCTCACCACACCACTTCCCCGACGTTGGAGGAGATGAGGTATCTGATGAATTGCTTCATGTTGTTGTAAATAGCTCTGCCTTCCTCCACGGCGGCCACGATGGTGGAGAAGTTATCATCCGACAGCACCATCTCAGATGCCGACTTGGCTACTGCCGTCCCGGATCCCATGGCGATGCCAATCTCCGCCTTCTTCAGGGCGGGGGCGTCGTTCACGCCGTCTCCTGTCTGTGACAGAACAGAAAACAGAAAATGACACGAAACCTCAGTTTGATCAGCGCTCTAAAGCTACAGTAGGAAAAATCCGCTATGAGATTATCGCCAAAAAAAGCATTTGTCCAAAGATCAACTTTAGAACCATTTGAATTTATTCAAATCTGGGTAGAAAACCCATCTGTCACAGCAGGGCAATGAAAGCGGTTCTGGATTTATGGGACAGCTGGAAAGATCTGACAGCCCAAAGCTGATATCGTTGCCTCGCCGCCTCCCATGCAGATCAGCCTCTCTTCTGAGATGCATGTCATCAAGGAAGCACTGGAGCGAGTGGCAGCTATTGATGGCAGCCTGAGAGAGACTAAAGCAAGGAATGCCTCACTGGGCTCTCCTTCAGCGTTCAAATGTCGGCTGCACAGCCAACATCCAAGGAGCAGATGTGTGAAGGTCTTTCTTTTTTTTTTAACATTGTTACTGTAAACCTGCTGCTGTATCTATCTGATCGATTTCAGTTTGTTCAGGTTAATGACCAATCTTCTTCATGCTCCAGGGTTACCTGTGGAGTACCACAGGGATCATACCAGAGACGGGGGATCTGGAGTCAACAAGTCATCTCTATGTCATGTATTGGTTCTGCTCAGCCACTGAACCAGGTGAGTCCAATCTGCACAGGTGAGTTTACTCTACAGATTTAAATTACCTTGTTGAATGTCTGGACAGAACAAATCCATGACATGGAGATGACTCGTTGGCTCCAGATCCCCTATCTCTGTAGGCGAATTACTGTCCCCCAGATATCCGCAGATATATTTTTTCTATTATATTGTTATATCTTTTAAAAACTAAGCGCCGCGTGTATGACGTCATCCGCACGCCGGACTGGAGTTGTGACAGGCAGCCCGGGCCACAGGCAGCTACGCTCTACCCCTTCTATTAATTCGGCTAGCTAATCTGAATCGTTTAATTCCATTTCGAGAGCGAGATCATCTGTGGTAGCAGCACTAGACATCTTCCAGGCATGTGAGTAAAACTAGCAGCAGTTCAGCGGACAGGATGAATGAACGGTAGTCGGTGCGCGTGGGTGACATCATACACACTCCGCTTTGTTTTTAGGCACCCTAGATGGCCACTCACATCAAGTCTGGTTTTGCTGGAGGTTTCTTCCTGTTAAAAGGGAGTTTTTCCTCTCCACTGTCACTGCAATCATGCGTGGCGTAAGGGATTGCCTTCTAGTCAATGAATGGGTGCTGGTTTTCCTTAGATGAAAAAACTTTTAATCAATTTGACTGTATGATCGTCTCTGTACAGTACCTTGAGATTGTGTTCAGCAAGATACAAATCAAAAACTTCCTAATTTAATCCAAAATTATTGTTGAAAAACTATTTGTGCATAGTTAGATAAAGCTAAGCGCTTTTTTCTTGGAAATATCCAGGCCAGCAAAGCAGATCAAAAAGCTATGATTGTATATTCAGCACATCTGCTGTAAAAAATGCTAAAATATAATCTAGATCAGTGGTTGCATCCTCCAAGATCATCCTTTCCTTCAATAGAAACATGGCAGGAGGCCAAACATGTGAGATTGGTAGAAAAAGTCAAAGCAAAGGTGCAGCTTGTACAGCTGTAGGCGATTCAGAGAAGCAAATTGGAGCAGTTAAATTCACTGATTTGTATTTCTATTAAGAACAAATAACAATAAAAAGATGGGAAAATTTTAATACAAGTGTTTCAATTTGTTCTGTGCCATTTTTTAAGAGCAAAACTTGAGCAAAACTAAATATTTAAGTTTTGTTGTTTGTTATGTAATTCTATTCAAGAACTTGAAGTAGCGTTCCAAATGTTCCATTTTATTTATCTCTAAAGTTTTGAATTCATAGTTGCGATACAGGAATGCTTATGATTCATAATTCCTTTATAGAACAGCTTCGTAGAAAATAGAGAGTAAGTCTGTGGAAAGTGAGAGTGGAGATCTACTCTACTGATCTGACGTCTCACCATCGCTGTGATCTCATCAAATGACTGCAGGTATCCGACTATTTTGGACTTGTGTGCCGGCTCCACGCGGGCGAAGCAGCGGGCGCGTTTGACAGCCTCCCTCTGCTCATCTGGTGAGAGGTCGTCGAACTCGCGGCCCGTGTAGGCCTTCCCCGTCACGTCCTCGTCCTCTCCGAAGATGCCAATGCGCCTGCAGATCGCCACAGCCGTGCCTTTGTTGTCCCCGGTGATCATGATGACCCGGATGCCAGCCTCGTTGCACAGCTTCACTGAGCCGATCACCTCCTTCCTGGGCGGGTCCAGCATGCCCACGCAGCCGACGAATGTCAGGCCCATCTTAAAGGAGGGGAAAGAAGAGGTTGGAGGGGGGCTTCGCAATATGGTAAATGAACAGAAAAAGTAATGGAGCCTAGATAAAAAGAAAAAAAAAAGGATGGATGCAGAGAAATAGGTAAAAGATAAACTGAAAATGATAAAAATCATCAGACATAGAACCAAACAGCTGGACTAAATTACTTACAGGTAGCTGACCTGCAGCAGCTTTGCTCAAAGGCAGCTGACCTGCAGCAGCTTTGCTCAAAGGTAGCTGACCTGCAGCAGCTTTGCTCAAAGGTAGCTGACCTGCAGCAGCTTTGCTCAAAGGTAGCTGACCTGCAACAGCTTTGCTCAAATGTAGCTGACCTGCAGCAGCTTTGCTCAAAGGCAGCTGACCTGCAGCAGCTTTGCTCAAAGGCAGCTGACCTGCAGCAGCTTTGCTCAAAGGCAGCTGACCTGCAGCAGCTTTGCTCAAAGGTGGCTGATCTGTGACCTGCAGCAGCTTTGCTCAAAGGTAGCTGACCAGCAGCAGCTTTGCTCAAAGGTAGCTGACCTGCAGCAGCTTTGCTCAAAGGCAGCTGACCTGCAGCAGCTTTGCTCAAAGGCAGCTGACCTGCAGCAGCTTTGCTCAAAGGCAGCTGACCTGCAGCAGCTTTGCTCAAAGGCAGCTGACCTGCAGCAGCTTTGCTCAAAGGTAGCTGACCTGCAGCAGCTTTGCTCAAAGGTAGCTGACCTGCAGCAGCTTTGCTCAAAGGTAGCTGACCTGCAGCAGCTTTGCTCAAAGGCAGCTGACCTGCAGCAGCTTTGCTCAAAGGTAGCTGACCTGCAGCAGCTTTGCTCAAAAGTAGCTGACCTGCAGCAGCTTTGCTCAAAGGCAGCTGACCTGCAGCACCTTTGCTCAAAGGTAGCTGACCTGCAGCAGCTTTGGTCAAAGGTAGCTGACCTGCAGCAGCTTTGCTCAAAGGTAGCTGACCTGCAACAGCTTTGGTCAAAGGTAGCTGACCTGCAGCAGCTTTGCTCAAAGGTAGCAGACCTGCAGCAGCTTTGCTCAAAGGTAGCTGACCTGCAGCAGCTTTGCTCAAAGGTAGCTGACCTGCAGCAGCTTTGCTCAAAGGTAGCTGACCTGCATCAGCTTTGCTCAAAGGCAGCTGACCTGCAGCAGCTTTGCTCAAAGGCAGCTGACCTGCAGCAGCTTTGCTCAAAGGCAGCTGACCTGCAGCAGCTTTGCTCAAAGGCAGCTGACCTGCAGCAGCTTTGCTCAAAGGCAGCTGACCTGCAGCAGCTTTGCTCAAAGGCAGCTGACCTGCAGCAGCTTTGCTCAAAGGCAGCTGACCTGCAGCAGCTTTGCTCAAAGGTAGCTGACCTGCAGCAGCTTTGCTCAAAGGTAGCTGACCTGCAGCAGCTTTGCTCAAAGGTAGCTGACCTGCAGCAGCTTTGCTCAAAGGCAGCTGACCTGCAGCAGCTTTGCTCAAAGGCAGCTGACCTGCAGCAGCTTTGCTCAAAGGCAGCTGACCTGCAGCAGCTTTGCTCAAAGGCAGCTGACCTGCAGCAGCTTTGCTCAAAGGTAGCTGACCTGCAGCAGCTTTGCTCAAAGGTAGCTGACCTTCAGCAGCTTTGCTCAAAGGCAGCTGACCTGCAGCAGCTTTGCTCAAAGGTAGCTGACCTGCAGCAGCTTTGTTCAAAGGCAGCTGACCTGCAGCAGCTTTGCTCAAAGGCAGCTGACCTGCAGCAGCTTTGCTCAAAGGTAGCTGACCTGCAGCAGCTTTGCTCAAAGGTAGCTGACCTGCAGCAGCTTTGCTCAAAGGTAGCTGACCTGCAGCAGCTTTGCTCAAAGGTAGCTGACCTGCAGCAGCTTTGCTCAAAGGTAGCTGACCTGCAGCAGCTTTGCTCAAAGGTAGCTGACCTGCAGCAGCTTTGCTCATAGCATGCTAATAGACCTTTTGCTTACAGCCTGTGTGGAATCAAATATAAGGACTATGATTAGATAAGTGAGATAATGGGGTTTCCGCTACATCTGATGGTGGTGTGAAGCTGCCATGCCTTAGAAAGACAAAAAAATGGTTTCAACAATATGATCCAGCAAAGTATATATTTGTGCACTAATTCTAATTACAATTTAAATTAATTTAAATATCATGAAATGTCCATATTTCTCTGACATGAAAGCAGTATTCGTTCAACCTACAGCTTGAGCTGCCCTAAGCCTCTCCCTGCTTCCCTAAGCGCTGTCTCAAAGGCACAGGCAGCTCCCTGAGCCTGGAGCCCCAAATGCAGTGACAGATAAAAAAGCAGAGAGGAGACCTGCTGCGTTTGCCTACAGCTGATGTAGGACAGCTACCAATGATTCAGCCCTGGACTACAAAGCAGGATGTAAAGATAATGTGAACAGAGTTTTGATATCATCTCGAAATCTAGGGCCGTCATTTCCGAGATGCTGAAAAGGCCGACAAAATTAAAGAATGAATCAGATAAAATGGAATCTAGTAGAAAATGTAGAATCAAACAGGATTTGTCGATGTTGGTGTGATGTAATAGTCTGGGAGCTACTTATGCACTGCTCCTGTATCTCCTGTATCTGCTGTCAACCTGCTTAAAAAAAACAGCCAAATATGGCTTTGAAAAGCTGGAAGAATTCAAACTAAGCATGATCCCACTCAATAAGCAAGTTTGGACAAAGTGTTAGTTTGCAGGTTTATGTGTCTTTTAAGGTTGCAACTAATGATTATTTTGCAAATCAATTAATCTGTCTATTATGTCGAATGGTCGGTTAATAATCGGATAGTTAAAGGTTCCTAACAGAGCTTGTTTTACTAAATTAAACCAGCTGAAACTAGAACTTTTCTACTTGGAGTTGTGGATAGACCATATTGACAGACGAAAACAATTGTTTTATCTTAAATGCAAAATGTTTGCATATTATTTTACAATTATAATTACTGTTATAGGTGGGCCGCTCTTTGAGCTTAGGACATGTTTTAGAGTCTCTATATGATAAGCGATTAATTAATTACTAAACTAGTTGATGATTATTTCAATAATGAATAAGCACAATTACTTGTTTCAGTCCTAATTTCTTTAGGAGAGTAAAGAATGTCTCCTATACTCAACTCTAAAGAAGTTTTACAAATTATTATATATAAAGAATAAGAAAATGATTAATAAATACTTCATGTTGTCACTTTTTAATAACAGGGTTAATAAATATAGTTACGATAAAAAAGTGGAATTTGGGGAAAAACTAAACGGATTTGTTTGAGCTCTAGAAAACTGATAACCAAACAGCTTAAATCACTTTGCAATGCGTGAACCTCTGATTATTGCCATTTTTGGTCAAAAAAGTAACTTTACGTTTCTTCATAAAGTTAAAATATATTTAATTTGACGACATACTAAGGACAGTTAATGAATTATTACAGTTCAGATTTAGATACTCATGTCCCCCCCACCACAGACCCACACACCCCTGGTTAAAACTAAATCCACCTCTAAGCATCTCCATGTACCTCATATTGGACAAACTTGCTGGAGTTCTCCAGGTCCATGTTCTCTTTGCGTGGCGGGTTGTCGTGGGTTGCCAGAGCGAGGCAGCGAAGGGTGTCCTTGCCTGTCCCCCATTCCCTTATCTTACACATCAGCTGCTCACGCAAGGCTGGTGTCATAGCAACCTTTGCAGTTCCCACACGCAGGTGGTCGCATCTCTCCATCACGCTTTCAGGCGCGCCCTGTGAAGAGGGAACGTGTGTAGTCGACAGACGGACAAACAAAACATGAGGAAATGGCAGCGACGCAAAAACGTTCTGATGTTTTGCTTCTTTTCTTTAATGATGCTTTAATTTAGGCCTCAATCAATCAACTCCAGATGGTGAGAAATCACACAAAAAAAGTTCCAAATGTTCTGAAGAACCAAACACAGTCTTAGAACGTGCCTCACCGTACCTTCACAAACATCTTGCTCTGGCCACCTGCTTTGACGGGATTGCAATAGACGGACATGGACTTGCGGTCGCGGGAAAACTCCAGAGTGAACTCCTTCTTCATCAGCTGCCTGATCACCTAAAACAGAGGATGGAGAGACAGGAAACAACAAAGAAGTGAAAAAGTGACAGAGAGGTTAAGCTAAGCAGCTGTGAGGAACAGTCAGGTATGGCTGCTGCTGTGGAAACAATGTTAGGTAATGTGGATCTTCAGATGGGGGCAGTAAAGCTGAATGCTAACCAAACCGCAGACAATATGGCTGAAGATCCTTTTCCTCATGCAAAGTTCTTTGTTAACTGCTACATCACAATGGATTTGATCTGATTTTTATATGATGACAAACAAAGAGCATCATTGTGGAGAAGAACAAAATCCCCCCAAATATCGAGATATTTCATTATCAGAAATTATTCAACATACGGCCGAATGGATCTGAAATGCAAATATGCACTTTTAAATAACTCTTTTATATGTTACTTCAAGGCTGGACTATTGTAATTCTTTACTATCAGGAAGTCCACAAACTGTAGTTAAAAGCCTTCAGCTGATCCAAAAAGCTGCCAGAGTTCTGATGAAAATTAAAAAGAGAGATCATATCTCTCCTATCCTGGCTTCTCTTCATTGGCTTTCTGTTAAATCCAGAATAGAATTTAAAATCCTCCTTCTCACATATAAAGCCTTAAATGGCCAAGCTCCATCTGATATCGGAGATCTGATTGTTCCTTATGTTCCTAACAGAGCACTTCGCTCTCAATCTGCAGGTTTACTAGTGGTTCCTAGAATTTCTAAAAATAGAATGTTAGGCAGATCTCCCCTGTGGAACCAACTACCATTTTTAGTCCGTGAGGCAGACACCCTGTCTACTTTTAAGACTAGGCTCGAAACTTTTCTTTTTGATAAAGCTTATAGTTAGAGTGGCTCAGGTTATCCTGAGCTCTCTCTATAGTTATGCTGCTATAGGCTTAAACTTCCTGTTTGTATGTGACTCCATCCTGGAGAGAAATATCAGCTGTGCTGATGTCATCAACATCTTTTCTTTGTAGATGTTTGAGATTGGCCTGTTTTTCCAGTGTAGTCCTGTTTCTCTGACTGTGACTGGCTGGATGTGCTCTCTCCATCCTCTGACATGGGAGCTGGCTCAGAGCTCGTCTGCCTGACTGCGTCTTTCCTGGACGGGGCCACCCGTGGAGCTGGTTTACAGTTGCCTTCTGTTTCTCCACTTTCTTTCTTCTGTTCATCATTCAACCAAAGCTTGAAAAGAATAGCTGAATTTACATGCGTTATAAGAGTGTGCAGCACAAGACAGCTTTACCAAATATTGGCTCAGGATGGCAATTTAAACTCACATGTTTCTGATTCTTTTGGAAATCAAAGGAATCCTGATCCTAACATTAAATCTCTAATAAAATGCATCAAATTTTGTTGCTCTGATGTGAAAAGAACCATAAACTGATATAAACACATAACTAAGAACCCTTGACTTCACCCTCTATTAAATGTAATGCCTTTCTCTACCAGTAGGGGTCCTCCAGGTTCTAACCAGTTGTATTAAGCTGTTTAACAGTCAGCTAAATGTCCAGCTAGATAACTGCAGGTGATGGACCTGAGCTGGATCCTGTATCCCTCCCTCTATGACATCAGAAAAGGGGGAATTTATCTAAACTAATTTCCTGGTTCTGCACAAAGAGCTAATTTATGAAGCAATGCTGATATTAATCCATTTAGGCAAAAAGCATCTGCAGCGGGTCTCGATTGAAAAACACGTTTTCCTGATGCTTCATCCTGCTTTAAAAAGCAGACTCATTAAAAAGCTGAAGTTGTTCCTCGATCTCTGGGGGCCCCGGCGGTGACATCATCTGGGCTTTTAACGACACATGAGCAAAGCTGCTCCAAACGCCGCTGCAGCACCAACACAGCTCATCACCCCGTAAGTCATCCACTCAGCAGGACTCTTATGACTGTTATTAAAGATCTGCTTGTTTAACTTTGCAGCATCGCGTCCAAACTCAAACAACCGCAACATAAAAGCAGCTGGGCGATATTATTATTATTCTGGTATTATTCTAAGATACGAGCAAACGATTGGCAGCTGACACCCTGAAGTCAAACATAAGCCGCGTGACAGCTTCAAGCTTTGAGTCCAAGAGATAAAAACCTAAGTTGCTCTTATTTCCCAGGGTTAAACCAGGCCTAAATGTGAAGCTTAATTTAATACAAATATGCGGAAGCGACACAGAGAGACGTCATGTCCCCTGTATGGGTAGAGCCCAGCATAATAAGCAGAGTAATTACCACAAAATGCTTACGCAGAGAAAAGCTTTGTAGCCGTTTGCTAAAACTGCTCTAAATAGAAGGAAACATTTCCTCAGGTGTGTTTGGCATTAATTTAAACAGGTACAGTAAATAAGAGGATCAGCCAATGGAATGAGCATTTTGGCCCTTAAAATAAGATAATTACATGTTATACTACTAACCTGCTCAATTCAAGGGAAAATTAAATTATTTTAAGAAAGATGGACTTTATGATTAGAAATAAACATTGAGGACTGCAACAGAGAAAGAGGAAAAATGTTTATTAAATAAATGTTTATAAAATCTATTTTGGGAGAAAATGTCTTCAGTCTGATTGCAAAAAACAAAAACAGTATTTCAGGGTAATAATATATAGTTTTTTTTCAAGAGAGCTTATTTCTGTCGAAATCTTTTATTCATTAAATGACAAATATTTTCTCTCTAGACTCTTTCTTTAGTCTCAAATAACATCAGTTTTTGGTATCAGTGACAAACATTTGTTTTCTCCATTATATTTATTTTACTTTCAAATCACTTTATTTTCTTGAATTGAATAGAAATACAAAAATAACTCCATATGCCAGCCTGCGGTTCGGTGGGGGACTGCTTGTTCTATTACTAATTGTTAGAGAATCTTTTAGACAGACAGACAGACAGACAGACAGACAAACTCACTCTCCTAAGAAGAGAACCTCATTGGTGGAGGTAGTGAAATTGTAAAAGGTCTGTAAAATTATCTTGATTTCTGTAGTGTGTCTTTTTGAAATAAATAAATTTGAAAAACGAATATGAACAATACACTTAGAAAAAAAAATGAAATAAAATCATAGCTTCATTTAGAAAAACTGTTTTGGTTTCAACAATAATAGAACAACATTTACTTCACACTGTTGCTATTGAAAATATTTCCAGACAATCAAAATACTTGGAAAGAAGTACTTGTTTTCAGCCAGTTGACCAGCAGTGCACAGAAACAGGTAGACTCACAGGCCTTCCTGACCTGAGGCACAGAGAAGACCCAGAAGATGCCGCAGCTTCTTCCATGAGCTTACCGAGTTGCAGGCGCCGGCCCGTTCCACCTTGCTGAGATCCGACAGGTCGGTCTTAAACACGTTCATCTTCTCCACCAGGGTGGTGAGAGCCGTCTCTGTTGCCTCTCCCACCTTCTCATATACCCCTTTGCTCTGCAAGAGAACAGATTCACATTAGAACATCCAACACAGCGTTTCACAACTAACCCAAAAAACAGTCACATGCTGTGCTCAGAGTCAACAAGGTAAAATGCTCTCCACTAAAAAGCAAACATGCATCGGAGCAATCTGCCTTCAAAGTTTGTAAAGAGTGACTCAGGTTACCCTGAGCTATCTCTATAGTTATGCTGCTATAGCCATAGATATCTGGAGGACATAGGGACCCCTTTTTTTTATCATTCTATCTCTATTCTCCCACTCTGCAGAATGTTAGTTCAATCTCTAACGTTCTGCTCTCTCTTCTTTTTCTCATAGTAGCTTCATCTGGTCTGTTCCTGTTTGGCTGTGACTCCATCCTGGAGAGAAATATCAGCTGTGCTGCTGCCATCACCACATTTGTTTATAGATGTTGGAGATTGGCCTGTTTTTCAGTGTAGTCCTGTTTCTCTGTAGAGCTGGTTTGTGAATCTGCACTATATAAATAAACTGAACTGAATTGAAAGTTTGAGTGGTTGGGTCAATGGTAAACGGGACCCATCATTAGTTTGTGCGAGCGCCCATATATGGCAATAAAAAGCCTCGTTTCCTTCCAGCATTCCCCATCCTCCCACCATCTTGTGACTCCTTCCTCACAAACTTTTTTTGTTCCAGAAATGAGCCAAACTGGTGGCAAAGAGGCTATTTGTGAAAAGTGAAATCTTAAGGGGATAGATAGAAGAGGAGAATGGCTTTGTCCCTGGCCTCTTTACTCAGCACGGTTACCATGATAACGTGGCGTCGACAAAGAGGTGAGAAAAAACAAATCCAAGCCAGAGAGAAGATGATACACAAGTAAAATTAGCTCCCATCAGCGAGTGGCCGGTTTCATAGGCTTAGTCTGTTGATGCTGTAAAAGTATTTCTCTAAAAGAAATCCCTTCACAGCAGAATCTACAGAGTGACAATTCAGACCCGTTAAACCCATTTACACCTCATCTCTCCAGAACTAAAATTGCCTGAGTCCTCTCGTTCATGCTGTAGACTAATGGTCCCCAAATCAGGTTTTTTTGCTCTGAAGGGACTCAGGTGAGATTCTCTCTGAGTGAACAGGCTAAGTCACATAGCATCAGACGTTTTCCTATCTGATCGGGGCGACATGTCTATGTGCTTTTCAATCCGATGCAGATCGGATCTGAAGAGCCCAGTGACCCGTATCTGAATTAGTATGATGATGACAAAAAACAGTGACAATAGAACAAACATGTAGGACAGTGTGGATGGAGGCGTGAGGAGAGGGATGACAAAATAAGTATTTGGGCACAAACAAGGATTCAAATGAAACTGTAACAGGTCAGCTGACTGCAATGCTGCAGCCCACATTTCCCCTCAGAGATGCTCCAGCCACTGCTGCTCCAGAAGCCTTATTAACAGTTCAGCTTTCCTGCATCATCTGTGTATCATCGGCTACTTCCCCTGCTGAACCGCTTTAAGTCCATCCGTAGACTCTGACTTCTGACACATCTTGTCAGAAGCGCCTGTCAAACCTTGACAATTTAGCCAGCGGGTGCCTGAGATACGAAAAATCTGGCAAAAGGCTAGCATACGTTGGATAAGTTATGGGTACGTTTTATATAAGTTTATGAGCACGCTGAAGTGCGCTGGCAGACGTCCACATAAGAGTACGTTGAGAAACGACGTATGCTAGTGTATGCTCATTCGTGGGGCATAAGTTACAGGTAAGTTATCTGATCGTTGACATACGTTATGCGTAATGGCGTATTGGCAGCGTTTTGGTATGAAAGTGGATTCACAGGAGGAAACTGTCAGTTCTCTGTTGCAGTAACCAGTGGCGAGGTTAATACCACAATCAAAGACATCTTTTTTATGTAGACCGGGCGCCTCTGGGCGCATCGCTGCTCCTGAGGGGAGCAGCTGTAACTGATGCTTTGTAATACCCATAAAAGGATGCACAAGCATGCCCATAAAAGGATGCACAAGCATCCTTTTATGGGCATTACGCTGCTGTGCGTTATGAAGAAGTTAGGCTGTGACATACGCTCTGGATTTTTTATGAATACGTTATGTATTACGCCTAAAATTGAAAAAATATATAGAATGTTCAGCGTTTTAGAAGATTCTGTGACATCAGGCATACGATGTATAAATCGGCAAGGGTGACAAGGCCCTCACATGAGGGGGACAATGGATAAGTTATGGGTACGTTTTATATAAGTTTATGAGCACGCTGAAGTGCGCTGGCAGACGTCCACATAAGAGTACGTTGAGAAACGACGTATGCTAGTGTATGCTCATTCGTGGGGCATAAGTTACAGGTAAGTTATCTGATCGTTGACATACGTTATGCGTAATGGCGTATTGGCAGCGTTTTGGTATGAAAGTGGATTCACAGGAGGAAACTGTCAGTTCTCTGTTGCAGTAACCAGTGGCGAGGTTAATACCACAATCAAAGACATCTTTTTTATGTAGACCGGGCGCCTCTGGGCGCATCGCTGCTCCTGAGGGGAGCAGCTGTAACTGATGCTTTGTAATACCCATAAAAGGATGCACAAGCATGCCCATAAAAGGATGCACAAGCATCCTTTTATGGGCATTACGCTGCTGTGCGTTATGAAGAAGTTAGGCTGTGACATACGCTCTGGATTTTTTATGAATACGTTATGTATTACGCCTAAAATTGAAAAAATATATAGAATGTTCAGCGTTTTAGAAGATTCTGTGACATCAGGCATACGATGTATAAATCGGCAAGGGTGACAAGGCCCTCACATGAGGGGGACAATGTGAGACGGTCATGCGAACAGCCTCACAAAAAAAATAAATCAGGATCGACCAAAAAAAAAATAATAAAAAAAAGGGAATTGAGCTTTAAGGGCTGCAGTGTGTATGTAGCATTGATTTACAGAGCTGACATGAATAAAACAGCTTAACCAGAATAAGGCAAAGTAATGGCGATGGAGGGAATTTGGTTCCATTACTGTTCCAAGCAAAGAACACATTTTTATGAAGTAAAATTAAAAAAAAGGGAAACCAGAAATCTTAAAAGGGTTTTGGGAGTAACTTCGCTGTTTTCTCTGATTTCAGTTTATTTATATATATATTTTTTTCATTATAGATTTTTTATTTTTCAGTTTTATTTATTAAATTTCGTTTTTTTCGGATTAAGTTTTATTATTGGCCACCTTTTTAAATAGATTTTACAGATCACATTTTCCTCACTTCTTTGAGGCTGGCTTTCCTCTGGAAGGAGGAGCAAAGAAGGATTTCTATTGGTTTGTTTCAACGTTAGCAACAAGAATTTCTATTGGTGGAGAGGGTTTTTTTTTTTATTGGAATTGAAGCAAAGGAATGTGATCTATGAAAAACTTGGAAAGGAATAAAACACCATCTGAGGAACTGAAATGATAGAAAATAAAATTTGGAAATATGACACTTTAATTACTATATATAGTATAATATAATATAATATATAACTTTAACACTTTAGTAAAGCATCGGAGAGCGCAGACCTTCACCAAGCAGCACATTTTGCTCCGTGTTTTGACTTCCAACTAAGCTAAAACTCACACATGATCTGGATCATCAACTAATTTTTATCAATTGTTCCTCAGGCTGAGCTGCACCTTTGGTAACAATTTTATTAAAATACATTCATAACTTTTCAAGTTATCCTGAACACAGAACGACAGAAAAACAAAAACACACCAACTCGACTAAAAACAACCTGCTTGAATCAGGTTAAAATAAAGAAAACTGCAAAGTTCCCTCTAAACCTTTCATTTTCTATTAGAAAGTATTTTTTTTTCTTTCCTTTCAGAAATAAATTTTAATTGCTAGCAACAATAATGGAACAAATCTCACTCCATATAGAAGCAGAGATTGAGCTGAAGTTTTAGGAAATCCTCTCTTTTGGTCTAGAGATTAGGACCACTGCTTTGGGGGAAAACATCGTCCTGCTGTTTGAATCCAGAGACGAACGCTCTGCTCATTTTTTGCAAAATGGTTGGTTTCGTCTTATTGGGCACCGTTTGGCATAAATTAATGTTTGCCACGCCCCCAGACATTTTGAAATAGAATGAACTACTTTAAAATCCCCATTAACCTGTTTTTAAGCCTGTACTATCCACCTCTAGTTCAGGCTGCTATGAAGTACTTCACTTTAAAATACTTTCTACTTCCTCACACTCAAATTGTCTAGTTTCCACGACAACCAGCCCTTGAGTCAACCATCGCTCCCACCTGAGCTGTGGCCGCTTGCAGCTCCTGCACAGTTGTTTTCCTCTGTCAGCGTATGCAGAAGCCCTTACACCCCCCCCCCCCATCCCCCCGCTCTGTTCCCCGCTCTTCATTCACTGACGTTCTCTTAAAGCACTAAACACTTAGACTCCGTTATGGGAGTCCTCAGTTTGAAGCATTTGCGGTGAAGATTAAAGGGAGGTAATTTAAAAAAATGTAACTCAAGATTAGATAATTTTTTATGTGTAAAAATGTTATCCTTCCATTTCAAAATTGGAAGCACTTTGCTTTGATTAGCTGTAACTGACCTCATTGTAGTCCAATGAGGAGTCGTTGCACATGGAGCACACAGTGGCCAGCTCCAGCAGGCCGTCGTAGTCCCCACACTGGATGGGTTTGTTTTCTTTATGTCTGGGAGAGGGAAAAAAAAAACACATGGTTATATGAATGGCAGTCGTGAGGGAAACACTTCGCAGCCCCTTCTGGGTGGGCGGGGCTTCCAGTGGGTTAGCATTTCAGTGTGGACTGGAGGCAAACAGAGGCCCTACAGTAGTAAACAGAGCCTCGCCTCTGACAAGCAGCGCTGACTGCATGACGACCGTGGATCCCTTTCCCTGTAGAGACAGCAGCCGTTGCTAGCAGAGCTCCCACACAGAAACCCACACTGAGCTGTTATAAAACCGTCAGGTTCACACGGAGCGGCGCGCTCATTCCACAGCCGAATAAACAACATGCGCATGCAGAAAGTTCCCCCTGTCTGCTGGATGGCCACCTACCTGTACACCTCCACACAAACAACCTGACAAAGCTGACAAAAAGCCCAACAGAGGAGTTTTGTGGGCGGTCAAAACATAGTCCAGCTGAGCCTTGTCTCCTTCTGCAGTGCAGATCATCATTAGCATTTTTTACAGGCAAACATGGTAAAAGGCCTTTAGGTCATTTCTGAAGAGAATTGAAAACATGCATATTTGTGAGACTCACATTTGTCCCTCAGGGGCATATGTAGAACCAGTGATGGAGAACTCGTGCAGAGAGCAGCTTGAACCCTCCACTTTGTCTGCGATGAACATCTGGAAGGAGGAGGAGACGTGAACAGATGAGAGAAGCAATCAGAGCTGATCCGTTCATTGACTGTGATGGCCTCCATCGCCACACAAACATAAAAAAAAAATATAAAATAAAATTGGTCGGAAAAGCAGCAATGAGCTAAACCAGGGGTCCTTGTTTCAAACAGACTGGGGTCAGTTTTTACATGTGATTGGAGGAGAAGTGACAGAGGCACTAACATGGTTGAGATGACTTTGATCTAACCTGCTGAGGGTTTTAGAGCAGATTTCAGCCTTAAAATAATCTCAATCAATCTAAACTTTGGCTTAATCTGAATACAGCAAACTAGTAGGTTGATGTGGGTCAGTGGCTGCTATGACAAGTGCCGTCCCAATAGTGTCATCAGTAAGGAAGAAGGTAGAGAAAGGAGCCAGTACGCTTCCTATCATATTTCATTTAGTTGCCTTTGTGTCTCTGCTTCTGTCTCCTTGAACCCCAGTCGGCCTCGGCAGATGGCCGCTCACACTGAGCCTGGTTCTGCTGGAGGTTTCTTCCTGTTAAAATAGAGTTTGTCCTCTCCACTGTCACTACAAGCATGCTTAGTGTGATTGATGAGTCAATGCAATCAACTGGTTTTCCTTAGACAGAAAACTTCGCATCAATTTGACTGGATGATCTGGTGAACTGTACAATGCCTTGAGATGACTGTGTTGTGAATTGGCGCTATATAAATAAATTTAATTTAGCATAGTGAGTTAATGACTTTTCTATCTATGGAGCTAAAGAATTCCCACAATCCTTTGCATGACATGACGCATCGGCACAGCCCAACATTTAATTTAGCAGATTCTTAAACAGCTTCCCCGCTGCCATCAGACAGCTGAACCCTAAATCTTGTCCCAGACTCTGCATCACACTAACAACACCAAACCAAAACCCTGCATAATTGCACCAGACATACTAGAATGGTCTGAACTTCCATGTCAATACATTTTTTTTGCACCATGTTTTTTCTCCCACACCGTTTTCATTTGATCACTGTAGCACTATAAGAAATGGAAATGTCATGAAAGCTGTACAAAATGAAATTTCATTTTGTATACACTGTGTATAAAAAAGGACAATAAAAGTTGACTAAGTCTAAGTCATAACCAAGGCTAATTTCTTCACCTTCATATGTTTTAGGTTTTATGAATGAAAGCGTCTTTCGTTGCCTACATTTGTGAAACCTGTTTATTTGATATGTTTCTGTCATGTACATTTACACATTTACACTTGTATGAAGGCTACACATGTAGTTATTTTTCTTTAGTTTGAAAATCATTTGTGATTTGGTTCAAAGAAACATTTTCTGATGCCCCTGTAGTTAGACCACCCCCCACTAGGGGTCGACACCCCTACACGAAGACCTCTGAGCTAAAGTTTAAAAAAAAATTCACTATTCCACAAGAATGTAGGGCCGTCTCACAATGTATATGCATAGGGTGAGTGACAAATAGACAAGTCCCCGGATGTTGTTCTTGCTGCTCCCTTTTTACCCAGCATGCATCAGAGCAGACTTGTCCGTCCTTGAGAATGACAGCTATCCCAGCATGCACTGCAGCAGCAGCAGCTCCCAGGGGGCGCACACAAAGCCTAGTATTAAGTTAAAAGTTCTCCTTTCTGTTGCAGTTGTTCTATAAAAGTAAATAAAGATAATTTAAGACGAGAACATTATACATTTAAGCTTCATTTTATGGCCCATTTACTGATCTGGAGCGTAGTTTAAAAAAAAATTGGGAAAATGTTCATTTGATTTGTGTTTATCTGACTGTGTTAATTATTAATCACCCACTTAATGAAAAAAGTAAGAATTTATTATTATCTAGAGACTATTAAAATCAGGGGGAGAAATGCAGCTCCAGACGAGCTGAGCCTGTGGTGACGTCACGTTTACGCTTCTGTTCCAATTGACCCTGCATGCTACCGTCCTCCCACAGTCCATACTTTCCTTTGTTCTTCTCAAGAACACACTTTGCAAGAACACACTTTGCAAGAACACAAGTCTGTACTAGTGTTCTTGTGAATTGGGAAACGGCCTAGGTGTACCACACGATGTCATCATCAAGTCAAACTTCCAAACAAATATATATATCATTTTTTATGGAATCCAAACTTATCTTTTAATAGATTAGTATTGGATAGTACTGTTGAGATGCAGTTATTGGAACGGTAAAAATCTTTCAAGGATCATGCATATAAAAGGATCCACTTTATTTATTTTCATTGCCCTTGATGCAGACTCACAATCTAATATTATTGCAGAACTCTTCAACAGCATTACAGAATAAAATTCCTCCTGATAGGCTTTTTTTTTTAGATCTGAGATTAGTGACTGCATTATGTGTACATCTGTTGCCTCAATCATCCACTTACTGTACGTGATGATGAATTATTCAGTTAGCTTTTTGCAGAAAAGCAGTTAGCTTATCTGCCTCTTAATTCACTTCCTATTTCAGATCAGGTCTCCTGCACACAACTTTAAAAGGGATTCCCTTTGTTTAAAAGATACAGTGTAACGGAAGTGGGCATATGGATGGATGGATGGATGGATGGATGGATGGATGGATGGATGGATGGATGGATGGATGGATGGATGGATGGATGGATGGATGATTTTATAGTGGATTTTGATCCAGTATTATTGCAAACAAAGAACACGCTTTGTGAAAGTGGACATTTTTTTCAATCAAAAACAGGTTGAGAGAAACTGTTTTCTTTTTCAAATGTTTTATTTTACTTAATTTTTTCAAACTTTTATACATTTAAAAAAACTGATTTATTTTTACATTTCTCAGATTTTAGGAATTGTATTATTTAAAGGAAACCGCGGCAGACCAAACCAGATGAAAGTGCGCATGCAGCTCGGCAAAGAACTCATGCTCTTCCTCAACACTGAAGTCCTCAGACATTTTTCTTTCGTTGTTTCTTTCTTTGCACAGGTAAAACAGTACATTTCTTCTTCTACGCTTGCATTATTGGAAGAGCAGACGCTGAATGCGCACTTTCATCTAGTTTGGTCTGCCGCGGTTTCCTTAGACTCGTGAACGCGCTTTTAGGAAATCCTATACACTACTGTTTATGCTCTAAAAACATTCTAAATGACTTTGTTTCGAGTAAATTCTGGATGCTACCCACTCAGGACACTTGGAATACATTGGACAAGCAGTATGGAGGAATATTGACACGTTTTTTGTGGACTTTTATGGACCTTTCTGCCTCGGGCACCATAGACCTCCATTATTTGAATGTCAGCAGACAGCAAGAAGCCTCCCAGATCTCCAGATGCATTTGAGATATCAAAAAAGTACTCCAGAGTGTTGTTCAGCATGGGGGTGAGTAGAAAATGAAGGCTAATCATGTTTTGGGTGTACTATTCCTTTAAAAGGAGTTAATTGGATAATGGATTTTATAGTTTAATGGCTCATGTAATGTTAGCATCATGTATTAAATAAATGAATGAATTTTGCATCTATTTATCCTATGGGACATTCACATGGTACATTTAGGGCCTTAGGGATCACATCGTGATTGAAAAACTTATAGTGACCATCCACTTGGCATCCAGTGCCCCCTCAGGGGTCCCAACCCCCACTTTGGGAACCCCTGCCAAAGATAACTATGAAACATGGCTTTGCAATATCTGCAGTTTAACAAACGTTTTAGAGATGTTTTCTGATATTTTTCAATGAGACCTATTGTTCAGGTGTTCAATTCATGGATGTTTAGGTTATGCATTTGGTATGAAGCAGTCACTCATCCAAACACTGCAAAGAGAACCTTTACTCCTGATGCTACAAGGCACAGTCTGCAATGCCTTCTGCATTATTCTGCTGCACCGTGCTGCAGGAAGCAGAACCACTCAGGCATGACTCGGCCGCCACGTAACAAGTGGAGGGCAGCAGGAAGGAGCTTTGATCTATCATAGCCTCTGGGGATTTCAAACAAACAAGACACGGAGATGTGACCTAGAGGTTTTCTTTTTCCCCCTCCAAAGGTCATGCTGGGACTGACCAGTGAGTAAACCTTTTTCCCCAGTATGCGGATCAATACATGCAAAGCAAAAACAAAAGGGAAGAGCAGTGTCGCGCTTTGGAGGGGGAATTCTAGGAAATCCTGCACATATGGAGACCCCCCCCCCCCCCCCCCCCCCCACACACACACACACACACACACACAGGTGCAGATGGGGACAGGGGGATAAACCTGTTCAATGAGAAGACATCAAAACAGAGGATGTGTATAGAAAACAATGAAAACAGAAAACACAATCTTCAGGAAACAGCTTACTGAGAATTCAAAAAAGCAAAGAGAAAGAGGAAGCTTAGTTCGACTTCGTGAGAAGGTGTGCCCATTTCTCTGCAAGCGCAAAGCTGCTATACGGCGAGCAGAGGCCGGAGCAGAAAGTCAATATTTACAAGCCTCTTTTTCTGGGACTGGGATGCTTCCAGGGCTGTAGTGAGATCATTCCTCTGTGCTCCTCCTGCTTCAGGGAACTCCCTGCTGCTACGCATTCACCCCACAGAAGGGGGGGGGAATGAAAAACGATGAAGATAAGGTTCAATCAATTAATATGCAGGAAACTGATATCTCTGTGTTTTTGTGATGATTGGCCACTAATCATTTGCATTTTAAATATTCTAATTGAGCATTTTTTTCCGCTTGCTTTTTTTCCTCTCCAGACTGGGACAGTTTTTGCTGAAAGCGAGAAGGCTCATGCATTAAAAAACACCAAAAAGATTTCTTCTGCTTGGTATATTTCCCTCTGTGGCGCAGCTGTTTGCAGCTGGTTTGCTGAATTCGATCATTTACTGCATCGTGGCTGTTTTATCTGCAGCTGATATCAGCCCCAGATGTAGGCGGTCGATATTTGCATTTTTGTTTTTGGTCTAACTTTTAATCTCGACCTGGCAGCACTGGATAGCTTTAACTAAACTGGACTGAACTAGACGCATTTAAACTGAATTTAGACTGAAATACATAGATTTATCTAGAGATTAATTAAAAGGACACCAAGAAATTTACTGGTGAATGGAGTACATTTTGTTCCATTATTGTTACAAGCATCAAACTAATGGAAAGTTTTTCAATTTAAATTTGAAAAAAAAGCAAGCTAGGAAATTATCTTTAAATAACAGTTTTAAATTTATAATTTATTTTTCACATATAATTTAGAAAAATGTTTTTACCAATTGTATCCTTTTTTTTTCTTCTGCAGATTTAATATACATGTTATTTATATTTCTTTTTTTCAGAAGGACTTCAAAAGATCGCAAAAGTCTCTGTAAGGGGAGTCGTTAAAGGGAGATGCGATGATGGCTATCATCGAATCCCTAGCCCCTGTACAGGAGAGCAGGAGACAAAAATTCCTTTTAAAGACCCCCCCTTTCAGAGACATAGACAGGTATGGGGCATTGCAGGTAGGGGTGGGTATTGCCAAAGACGTCACGATTCGATTCGAATCACGATTCACAGGCCATGATGCGATTCTATCACGATGCATCACGATACTTGAATTATTGCGATGCATTGCAATATTTTCTCCTCCATGTTTTGTTTTTGAATGACTCGGCGCAGTATCCCGCGGCCGGAAATGCTTGTGACACAAGGCAGCGTGCGTCAACACATACGCAGCAACATCTACTAGACTGGAAGTTGTATTCCACTTGTTTTTGGCTGATGTTCGCCAACCATTCATGCAATTTTGTTTATTCATTTTTTTAAATTAATAATCGATACTTGGCGTCAAGAATCGATGCAGAAGATCACGAAAATTAGAATCACGATGCATCATCATGACGATTATTTTGCACACCACTAATTGCAGGCTAATAAAACAAGCCAAATGACCCCCATTCCAAAGGAGTCAATTCAATTTACATGTTTTCAAAACAAATACAGGTTTTGATGGGCTATTCTATAAAACCTGGAACGCAACCCTATTTATGACATTTTGAATTGAAAAAGCTTCCTGGATGGGAAGCAAAACGTCTTCGAACTTGGAAACAAAGTCCGGTGGATTGTTTTCAAATATTTTTTGAATGACTATGATCTGGATGACTAAGAATCTTCACCAGCAATTAAAGTTTCAGTAAAGTTTTATTGAAATGAATAATCATTAAGGAAAGACAATCCTCAGCTGTTTTCTCCTTAATAGCTCTGATAAAACTATCTAAAAGCCACAAACACTCGCTTGAAATCCTCATATTCCAACTTTTGGTGCCGTTCTCCTCCCTCCGGCCACCAGTTCCTCTGTGACTGAGGTGAGAGATGAGCTGCAGGTGTTAACTGAGACTTGGCTGTGTGCAGGGCGCTTTATGGGAGCCAAGATAAACAGCAGAGCTTACATTTACCCTGCGCTCAGAGCAAAGCCTTTCTGCGAGTACCGCGCACTCCCAGGCAGACAAAGGGAAAGGGTGAGGTTATCGGCTACTTATGAATATTTGTGGATAAGATCTTTCAATGTTTGCAGTCTAATGCGGTCATGTGTGCAGCCTTTAATCAACCGTTCGTGTTACGGACCCGTACAATGTTTGTTCAGGCAATGTGACATTTTGGAGCCTTTAACCGGGGCCTGCCTGGGAGCTGACATTACAGCAGTCTAAGCACTGCAAAACTGGCAGGCGGAGATAAACATTAAAACAATAAGAAGGATTTTCCATCTTAGATGGAAAATGATGACTGCACTTTAAGAAGGAAAAACACAGCAAATACCAACCTGCAACATTTCTGGAGTGTTATTTTTGTATTATTACTTAACAGTGTCATTGTTTGATGCGTTGGTCGCAAACCATTACGGCAATATGGTTGTGATGTTCAAGAACCCCTCAGGGCCACCAGGGCCTGAGTCTCATCACACACTGGAAGAGACCTCACCTAGAACCAAGCAGCTGCTCCAAGACGAAGGTTTTACTGTTAAAGGACTTTTTTTTTTTTTTATCTATTCAGTCAAAATTATAATAGATTTAAATGGAGGGTCAAAGGGAAGGCACGGTATGGAGTTAATTTTGTTCCATTATTGCTGCAGGAAAAGAAGACATTTTGGAAATTTGAAAAAACTAAAAACAGAAAAACAAAAACATTCAAGAAATGAAAATTTATAACAATATTCTAATAAAAAAGTATTATCAGTCAGCTTTTTCAATTTAATAAATGCCAATGACAATTAATATCGTATGCATTTAACATAGGGAAAAAACTAGTGTTGATGTCAAACCAGAGGTTCCTCCGGTTAAATTGTGTCTGGGGGAATTGGTTAAGCTCTCTCATTTGGAAAGAAAACGGTTCTCATTAGCAAATAACTTAAAGCAATTTAATATAACTTGGCAACGCCTTCTGCAATATATTGCCAACTCTACTTAAAGAGAATTTGATTTGATTCTCGATGTGATAAGATGTAAGTCCCAGGGAAAGGGGGGGGGGGGTGAGTGGGTCCTGACAATGTATGTTTATTTATGTCACTTTAGTTTGGATTTTTTTTAATTGTCTTTATGTTTTATGTTCACATCCAAAAGAGGAAAAAATTGTATTTTTGTGGTTTCAATTTTCACTTGATTCCTCGATGTAACTGTTTGACACATTAAAAGTATTTCCAGTACAACTTTGCTGTTTTATTTTTTCCCTCCAGATATTATCAATTTTTTTTTCAAATGTATATTTCAGATTTTATTTTTTCAAAATTTTATTTTCTAAATATTTGTTTTATTTTTAGCAGATTTTATATTTCCACTTTTTTTTGTTTGTTCAGGTGGATTTTTACAGATTACATTTCTTTCCCTTCTGCAGAGGTGCGTTCCTATGGGTCTGCCGTACATTAGCAACATTTTTAGGGGACGAGCGTTTGTGCTGGGCTTAAAATGAAGAGATTGTGATCTGTAAAATGCTATTTCAAAAGAATACAATTGAGGAAAACAAAATCTGAACTTGGGAAAAAACTTTTGTTTTTTGAAAAGATATAATTTAAAAGACAAAAATCTGAGAATTTAGCACAGCTACTGTTTAAACCTTCTAAGATAAAAAATGATTTTATTTTGACTTCTTGATGGAATTATTTTTTTATTTTAATTTTCAAATGCCCAATTATAAAATTTGTTCCTTTCCTGGAACAGTAAATAAGGCAAATTCACTCAATATTTTTGAACATTTAAAAACACCATCAACTGTGGAGTATGGTGATGACAGGACCATACCTCGGGTGAGGTACAGTTGTATGGAGCAATGAGAAAGAGCTCTCCTTTCTTCACTATCAAGCTAAACTGAGCTGAAAAATGACACCAAATGACAGCAGGCAAACATTAAGGCCTAAATCCTAGTGATAACCATTTCATTTATGTCTGAAAACCAAACCCTCGTCAGTCTACAACTTTTCTGATAAGGAGATTAAAGATCATTTAGAGCTCTTAAATTTTGAACTGTCTTTAATAAAAAATAAAAATAAAAAACAATCAAACCCATATTCTGTATATATATGGGGGAGTGGCGCCCTAGTGGTTAGGGCATAGAGCTTGGAATCCAGAGGTTCTGAGTTTGAGCCCCACCCCCACAGAATGCCACTCTGGGTCTCTGAGCAAAGACCCTTAACCCGACACTGCTCCCCAGGCGCCCCACGATGGCAGCCCACTTCTCCCCAAGGGGATGATTTAAATGCTGATGTAAATTTCTCCAATGTGAGATCAATTAAGTTTATTTATCATTATTATTTATGTCAAATATACCCACAAGCCATACCCAACAAACATCAGGGAATGTCCCACTTATTGCACATTTAAAAAGCACCTTAAATGGTTTCTTAAAAGTTCCCAGTAATGCACTCACTAATTTTATTGTTGTAATGTCACTGTTTGAACGTGTGTCTATGTGTTTTGACTGATATTGTATTATGTGATCTTGTGTTGTTTTGTCTTCCTGCCTCAGGGAGACAGATGTAAATTAGCAGCTATGCTGTAATCTGGCTCATTTTAAAATCTGTACAGAATGATAAGATTGTTCATTAATGTGATCTGTCCTGATTAAATAACTAAAGGATAAACAAGCCATAATTGAACTGATGAAAAAGAGTCTATGTAACCACTTTCTAATGACTACTCACTCTGCAGACAGACATCTGGTTGGTGGTGAGGGTCCCCGTCTTGTCAGAGCAGATAACAGACGTGCAGCCGAGGGTTTCCACTGACGGCAGGCTTCGGACGATCGCATTCTTCTTGGCCATGCGGCGCGTGCCCAGAGCCAGACAAGTGGTAATGACCGCAGGTAGGCCCTCGGGAATGGCGGCCACGGCCAAAGCGACAGCAATTTTGAAGTAATAAATTGCACCCCTGACCCAGGATCCGCCATGGACGGGGTCTCCGAAGTGGCCGATATTGATGACCCACACAGCGACGCAGATCAGGGAGATGACTTTGGAGAGCTGCTGGCTGAACTCGTCCAGCTTCTGCTGTAACGGTGTCTTCTCCTGCTCTGTGGATGCCATCTGGTTTCTGATCTTGCCGATCTCCGTTCTGACGCCCGTAGCTACAACAACGCCAATGGCACGGCCTGAGGCGATGTTGGTGCCCTAAGAAAAGTAACCATCCAACCGCTATTGAGCTAAATATAACAGTACAAACCAATTTTACAGCTTCGCAGAGGTTTTACTTACAGAAAACAGCATGTTCTTTTTGTCTTGATTCACAGCTCTGGGGTCAGGAACAGGGTCAGAGTGTTTGATGACGGAGACAGACTCCCCTTTAAACAACAAAACACAGCTGTCCTGTAGTGTTCTATAGAGAGCACTTTAGATATCAGCAATTCATTGGCATCACAAATATCCCAATATGCATAATAATAATAATAATCAAGGATCATCCTGTCCAGTTGCATATGCCTGTTGTTAATAAAGGTATTTTAACAAATAATCAACTCCAACAATATGATTTAAACAGTTGTTAATTTATGTTTTTAGATTAAAATGTATTTAGTCCGATTAATTAATCAAGTCTGTTTCTGTGTTGAAATGTTACCACCATCCACCAGAGGGAACTACTGTTCATTCTTAGGCAGAGCCTCACTGGTATTTGCAAGAGAAGTAATGCCAGACAGAAGGATGTTAAAGCGCAAACATTAATATAGTTGATTATTTACACTGTTTAAAATAATGCAAAATGAACTTTATGGGTTTTCTTTGTAAATATAAAGCAATGGTTTGTAATGTTGGAGAGCTAGCAAGATCTGAAAGCAGTAGTACTCTTTCACCCAAGGCAGAATGAAAGGGATTGGTCAGAGTTTTTACATGTTGTCAGCTCTTACAGATGTCAGACTTATTTATTCCTTTTTCTTAATACATAAGGTATTGACTAACAGAAAGTGTTTCTAAACAAAATTACCAACCCTAACTTAATAGCGTCCATTTAGCCGTGCTGCGTGGCAGAGCACCGTCAGCCTCTCTGCTGTGCTCGAAGGTGAGGATGTGAAGACAGAAAGGAAGGGGGCGGATACTCTAAACGTTTCCAACATGGTAAAAAAAAAAAATACATGCTAGCATCGGCACGGTTAAACGTGAAGTAATACAGGTGCTGGTCATAAAATTAGAATATCATGAAAAAGTAGATTGATTTCAGTAATTCCATTTAAAAAGTGAAACTTGTATATTATATTCATACATTACATACAAACTCATATATTTCAGATGTTTATTTTGTTTAATTTTGATGATTACAAATGACAACAAATGAAAATCTCAAATTCATCATATCAGAAAATTAGAATATTGTGAAAAGGTTCAAAATTGATGGCCCCTGGTGCCACACTCTAATCAGCTAATTAACTCAAACCACCTGCAAAAGCCTTTAAATGGTCTTTCAGTCTAGTTCTATAGGCTACACAATCATGGGGAAGACTGCTGACTTGACAGTTGTCCAAAAGACGACCATCGACCCTTGCACAAGGAGGGCAAGACACAAAAGGTCATCGCTAAAGAGGCTGGCTGTTCACAGAGCTCAGTGTCCAAGCACATTAATAGAGAGGCGAAGGGAAGGAAAAGATGTGGTCGAAAAAAGTGTACAAGCAAGAGAGATAACCGCACCCTGGAGAGGATTGTGAAACAAAACCCATTCAAAAATGTGGGGGAGATTCACAAAGAGTGGACTGCAGCTGGAGTGAGTGCTTCAAGAACCACCACACACAGACGTATGAAAGACATGGGTTTCTGCTGTCGCATTCCTTGTGTCAAGCCACTCTTGAACCACAGACAGCGTCAGAAGCGTCTTGCCTGGGCTAAAGAGAAACAGGACTGGACTGCTGGTGAGTGGTCCAAAGTCATGTTCTCTGATGAAAGTAAATTTTGCATTTCCTTTGGAAATCAAGGTCCCAGAGTCTGGAGGAAAAGAAGAGAGGCACTTCATCCACGTTGCTTGAAGTCCAGTGTAAAGTTTCCACAGTCAGTGATGGTTTGGGGTGCCATGTCATCTGCTGGTGTTGGTCCATTGTGTTTTCTGAGGTCCAGGGTCAACGCAGCCACATACCAGGAAGTTTTAGAGCACTTCATGCTTCCTGCAGCTGACCAACTTTTTGGAGATGCAGATTTCATTTTCCAACAGGACTTGGCACCTGCACACAGTGCCAAAGCTACCAGTACCTGGTTGAAGGACCATGGTATCCCTGTTCTTAATTGGCCAGCAAACTCTCCTGACCTTAACCCCATAGAAAATCTATGGGGTATTGTGAAGAAGAAGATGCAATACACCAGACCCAACAATTCAGAAGAGCTAAAAGCCACTATTAGAGCAACCTGGGCTATCATAACACCTGAGCAGTGCCACAGACTGATCGACTCCATGCCACGCCGCATTGCTGCAGTAATACAGGCCAAAGGAGGCCCAACTAAATACTGAGTGCTGTACATGCTCATACTTTTCATGTTCATACTTTTCAGTTGGCCAACATTTCTATAAATCCTTTATTTTTATTGGTCTTCAGTAATATTCTAATTTTCTGATATGATGAATTTGAGATTTTCATTTGTTGTCATTTGTAATCATCAAAATTAAACAAAATAAACATCTGAAATATATGAGTTTGTATGTAATGTATGAATATAATATACAAGTTTCACTTTTTAAATGGAATTACTGAAATCAATCTACTTTTTCATGATATTCTAATTTTATGACCAGCACCTGTATGTTTCATCTGAAAACATCTAGTTGAATAATAAACTTTTGGTTTATTCAATCAGCATTTAAAATAGATGCTAGAATAAACTTTTAAAACAGTAAGATGTGCTTTTTTTTTTAAATTCAGTAGATTGTAAAAATATTTTTAGTCCTTCATTTTATATAGACATCCTCTCGATTCAAGGTAAAACTTAGGTTTATAGGAAAATAAGCCTTTAGCGATTAATCATTAGGTGAGGGATTACATTGATCAACTAGATTATTTCGTTAACTAATTTCCATTATTACTGGCATCCCGAAGTTACTGTTTAAAGCGATCTAGAAATGTTTAAGAAGGTAAAGGTGCTCACGTCATGAAAAAACTACTACATTATTTTGTTGCCAAAATAGCACAATGAGAAATCTTAATATTTTTGTTTAAGTAGCATAATAACTTATTATCTAAAGGTTAATGTTTGCCGCAAACCAAAAGCAGTTTAATATAACAGTAGATAACCAATCCGTCACATACAGTAACAGAAAACATTAAACTGGATATAATTGGTGAATGGTCTGAGGAGATGAATACCTGTAAGGATGGACTGGTCCACTCGTAGGGTAGTGGACTTTATCGAGGTCACTCTGATGTCAGCAGGCACCTTATCGCCAACTGAAATGCAAAAATCCGAAAATAAATCAGTAAAAAAAACTAAAACATTGTTTTCATTTTATTAGCTTTCCTGCCTCTTTCTTTAGGAGTTTTCTGTGCCTCTTTAATCTTAGCACAGAGGTAGAAAGAAACAGGAGAACCTTAGTCTAGCGAAACAACATGCGAAGACTATAGGCTGTAACAAAACTTTTCTTAAACCATGTGGGTGGAAAAAGATATTTTTGGACAAAAAGGGAATCCTATGAATCTTATCCCCTCTATTGAAGTTATTTAAGATAAACACTCTAGACCGGAGTTCTTCAACTGGGGGTCAGTGATCCCTAGGGGTCCACGGAGGTACTGCATGGGGGGCACAAAAATTTTGGTGGATTACTTTTTTTTATATTCCCTCCTGCAATTTTTTCCACTAAATTAAATGCACATTAACATGAAATCAACACACTGAAGTAAACAGATAAATGGAGGCAGAAGATGTCTTTCAGTCATCAATGCACACATTCAGTGACACACAGGAGCTCTTTCAAGCTGGGCACCGTTTCATTCACAACACCTGTCCCACCAACCAGGAATCAGAATCAGAAATTCTTCAATAATCCCAGGGCAAAATTACTTTTGTTACATTACTCCATCTGCAATAGAGTGACTATATTGTCATTCTATTACAGATGTGTTTGATATAACATATATAATTAGGGGGTCGCCGCTCTATCTCACCATCAGATTGGGGCTCCTTGGCCTGGAAAACGTTGAAGACCCCTGGTTTAGACTCTCAACTAATTAACATTTTAAATATCCATTGTACAACTGGGATCGGTTACTATGCAACAGTTTTGTTAAAACCACTGTCTGTTCCACACAAAAAAATAATAATAATAATAATAATCACATTTTCACCATTTAGAAGAGTTTTGCCAAATGTTTTGAGAGCCTCCTTTCAAATATGCCACTCATTCTTAAATATAGCCCACTCCTGATCCATTCAAGGGCATCCCTTATGTTCTTAACTGAATGGGGATTTGTTCAACTTTGTCAATTGGCATTTTCACCAGTGGCACATTCTTTCATGTAGTTAAAACAGTGGCTTTTAACAGGAAGAGACCTCCAGCAGAACCAGGCTCACTGTGAGCGGCTATCTGCTGAGGCCGACTGGGGTTCAAGGAGACAGAAGCAGAGATACAAAAAGTAGCTGTAAAAGGCGGCCCCGTCCAGGAAACACACAGCCAGGCAGTATTGATATGCATGTCCTACGCTTTCCCAGAAAATTCTCTAGAAAATTTTCAGACTCTTAAAGAATGGAGTTAAAAGCCTTTGGGCTCCACCACTGTTCGCTTTTTGTTCGCCAGCTCAATGATGGAGAGGCAAAAGAAGTTCATGGAAAGAGTTCTGCAGGCTCAAGGAAAGACCAAGTACTTTTTTAGTCAGTGAACCTGGTTTCACCAAAGGCTAACAGGGAGGATTTTGTTATTTGTTTTGATTTTTTCATTCAGCAAGGCAGAACAATGATGATCAGTCTCAGTTTCAACTACGCTGACTTCAGTGACAAAAGGACGTGTTTAACATTGGCATGGATCTTCATGATCTGTAGGAGGATGCGATCATTTTCCGGAACAAAGTGCTGCTGGAGCCACAAACAAGGTTAACATGTCATTTTTCCACCCACATGGAGTGTCCTCACTCTTTTGCTCAAGGGTTTTAACTCCCTGCAACCAACCAACTGCTATCCTATTCATGGTCCCTGGCAAAAAAAAAAGTACTGAAAAAGCAAGACTTATGAATGTTTTACCTATCGGGTCATCCCTGGCAATGATTTGGTTTCGTTCCACAAACATGGTCTAGATGGTTTTCCCACATGTCTTCCGTTTAAGCACTGTTGGTTCTGGGCCACTCAGCTGTACTGCTTCATATGTACCAGGCAATGTGCCTTTAGGATCTCAGATGTCACCAGAGAGCTCTCTGATCATGCTCTTAAAAGAGGTCAGGACTACATCACATGTATGTCCCACTGTGCAGCACCCTCCCTGTGCAGGGAGATGGCCTAAAAAGTGTTGGTGCAAATGCCCCCTCCAACATCTCAGACAAGGTCATGAATAAATGGATGGCAGCCAACAGGCTGTTTGGAAGATCTCTTGATGTAATAAAGAAAAAAATGTTGCCCAAGATTAGAAAAGCTGAAATATGGTGCAATCAACCCCAGATATGATGAGGCCAAAATCCATCGAGGGTATTTTCAAAAAGCTATGCCACTTTATCCACTGAATTGACATGTAAGTGTGAACTCACAGCTAGGATGGCCAAGCTCCCCAGCAGATAGCCTGGAGCAAAGACCCACCTCCAGGACTTCAGAGGGACTCAACACCTCAAAGAATAAAAGACACAATCCTTCTAGACTACCTTGGAGGAGTAAAGGCAGCAACTAGTGGAACAGCTTGTGCCCTTTATGGGCACTGCACAGTTACATTTATCGCATAAACCATGTGAGCTTGTGTGTTGCCGATCAAGCCAACGAGAGGTCTCCTACCAAAGACTGTCGCTGGCAGTGAAAGCAATTTTTCTTGCTTATAGCAGCAGGGTTTTAACAATGCCTCATGATGTAAAGACTGATTCTTCTAGGGTTATAACGAAAGTCCTTGGACCTGTTTCAAAGAGTGCCAACAAGTAATATTTCTGCTCTAGCTGGCTGGTCTTTGAAGCAAACATTTGTGGAGTTTTATCATATGGATACTAGAGCCCCTCATGTGTGACTGAAGGGTATGTGGTGCAAATCAGGGCTGGCTTATTAACTAATTCGTGAAGAAAGTGTGACAAGAGGACACGCAGGGGAGCGATATCTCATTTTATCTGTTGTACCTCGCTGTACCCTCCGGGAACAGTAGTAACAGCCATAAGAATACTTAACTGTGCTGCAAACTCAAGGACTTCCCATCTATAGCATACAGATCAGCAGGTGAAGATTCCCAGTCATCCAGATCATAGTCATTCCAAAAAAAAAAGTTAAAAAACAACCCACTGGTCCTTGTGTCGTTGTTTTGCTTCCCATCCAGGAAGCTTTTTTCAATTCAAAATGTCAGATATGGTGTTGAGTTCGAGGCTTCATAGGGTGGACCAAAAATAAAGCCTTGTTTTGGTTTAGAAAACATGCAAATTGAACCTGACGAATGGGTCCACCCCTTTAGGATGGAGGTCTTTTGGCTCTTTGTTAGCCCGCCAAACCATATACCTGTCTGTGTCTCTGAAAGGAAATTGTTGGCCTGGCTATATAGGTGAGGTTTTCTGTTCCCCTGTAAAGGGGTTGGGGTTGCGATGAAAGCAGGAAGGGATCAATTCAATCACTGCATTGTTGGTTTTTGAAAGCTGAAATCTGAGTCCAACCCCTCTGTTTAAGGTTGTTTTTTCTTTCTTAACATAGATGGATTCCTTCACACCCCTCCAAACACTCTGGGCCTCAAAAGCATGTAATTTGTTCATAATATGTAGATGTACTACAGAGTCAGCAATAAGGCTTTTTTGGGCTACTGTATAAAGCCTGGAACTCAACGCAGCAACGGGGCAGCATTCTCAGCAGAGACTCTCAGACGTCCCTCTGCCCAAACACTTCCTCCAGCTTCTCAGGGGGAGGCCAAAGCCATTCCAAGGCCAACTGAGAGACTTAGTCCCTACACTTCTGCTGTGCAGTTCCCTGGGCCTTCTTCCAGCAAGGACCTGCCTGGAACACCTCTCAATGAGGTGTCCAGGGGGCATATGAAACTGATGTCCGTACCACCTTATCAGACTTTCCTAGATGTGGAGGAGAAACGGCTCTACTGAACCTCTCCCAGATGGTCAATCTCTAACTGACTGCCTGGCCACCCTGAAAACATAAAAGTTTTAGCTATCGGGATTACCATTAACTTGAACGGTTTGCTTATTCTTTTACAAAGGGCAGAGCTACTGAAACAACCAACACTGAGCACAAAAAACCCCATAAATAAATAAACAACCTAAAAGAAAATATAATTTCCAAACTGCTGGTGGAAGCTTTCCTGAAAAGGAAAGATTGAATTGTAATTGAAGAAAAAGTAATTTGGCTATTTTACAGAAGTCTTTCAGTGAGCTCCTGGAGGAATTCTAACTCAACCACAGATGTCGCACAATTCATGTAACAGAGGAAACTGTTAGAATTCAGTCTGAGAGATAAAAACACTGTTGATGAACTGCAGCGTTCGAGCAGCCGGCTGCTCTGAACCTATTAAAGACTGGCATTAACATCATATATCCTCGAGCAAATAAAAAAAACAAACCCTGATGGGTTCAGACCAGGATCAGCTTCCAGCCTTAGGTAAACAACAGCTCGATACAACCTTGATGGAGTCATGTTGTCGTTGAACAAGGATCGATGACTCGCACCCCCCTTTTGTACTCGTTTTACTCTTTTTCACTCTCTCTCTCCCTTGCGACACTCGCTCATACACTTTAAAAGATACACTGCAAAGTTGGACCTTCTGCCTTTTTATCCTTCTAATCAAACTTTCTATGGAAGCATTTGAAAAACAAAAGGTCCTAAAAAAAGGATTTCTTCTCTGTCAGAGACTGAGAATTAACATTCAATGGAAATGTTTCCATAACCCAGAGACTACGCAGGTTTGTGAGATCTGTTTTTTCCCAAAGCAGTAGCCAACAATGACTCCGGAACAAATGTTCTAGAAAATGTTTAATTTATATTATATCTTACTACCAGCAAGACTGATGAAAGAAAGGAAGAGCTCATCACTCTCTGCCTCCTACACACCATCTCTACTTTCATTTTAAAGGGGAATGCCATTTTTTGTTTTGTTTTGTTTTTTTACATCGGCAGCATGATGTAACGTTATTGCATCATGTTCTACTCACCAATATTAGTTTTGTGTCATTTGCAGCTGTTCCGAAGATATTTTGTAATATCCAAGTAATGTCTTCCTAGTCTTCCTATGGGTACCGAGTTGAAGGCACAAACGGAACTGTTCATAATTTATTCTTTATGGTGC